TTCTCCCCACGTATACACAGCTGACGTATACATGGCTAATTCCGTCAAATCGTTGAGATCTTGCCGCGTATTATTCAAGGGTCTCACCTCGGTCTTGGACTAAACCGAGATAATTCAAATGAGTTTGGTATTTTGCGCATTTTTAGGGGGAGGGACTAGTATCTCAAGATATATATCTCGTATGTAGGTAATAGTAGTTAAAGTAATTTATAGATCTAGCTATAAGTTAGTCAATCTCCCAGTCTACATTGGAGCCTCCTTCGTTGCGATTTGCTCCTTGTAGCTGTAGCTGTAGCTGTTGCTTGGTCTAGTCTTGCATCCCGCGATAATAGACCAACATGATGCTTCACTTATTCCTTCTGTCTGTGTGCGTCTTCGCCTCTTCGGTGTTTGCCGCGTTTGGCTTCACCAAGTCCGGCAGCGACTATGTTATCGATGCTGGTTCGGACAATCCGTTAATCTTCACGGTGAACGGCGATAGTTGCGATATTACTTCGATCAAGTATCGTGGCACTGAGCTTTCTGAGGGTGGCACGCAATTATCATCCGGCCTCGGTTCCGCCACCGTCAATGTTGAATCCGTCACAGCAAGTATGTTATTAGGTCCAAAAGATATATGCGCCTTCGACTCTTTCTTACTTTCTATATAGGTTCCGTCAACTACGTAAAGGTGACCTGCACCACCTCGACCCTGACGCATTACATGGTGGTTAAGGAGGGAGAAAGCAATGTCTACTTGGCTACTTACATCAAGGAAGAGCCTTCTATAGGTGAATTACGCTTTATCGCCCGCCTGAAGTCTTCTGTCTTGCCCGAAGAGTACCCCTACGGCAAAGTTTCAACCACAGCGGGCAGCTCTTCTACCGTGGAGGGATCCGATGTCTTCGTTGTAGACGGAGAGACACGATCGAAGTTCTACTCCAGCACTCGTTTCATCGACAAGGACGCGCAGTGTGTATACGGTGGCTCCGATGTAATTCACGTATGCGTGTTGGCGCCGCACCCCGAATCCTCATCCGGCGGTCCATTCTTCCGAGATATCGAATCGAACAACGCCGGATCCGCTACTAACCTCTACTGGTATATGAACAGCGGCCATGTCCAGACCGAAGCTTTCCGAACCAACGTCCTGCACGGACCTTACGTTATGGCCTTTTCGCGATCTGGTGTCCCCAAGCTCCGCGACATTGACACTTCCTTCTTCTCGGGACTGAGCGTCACCGGCTACGTTGCCGAATCCGGTCGTGGTTACGTCTCCGGCACCGCTTCCGGTGTTGCAAGCAGCTTCCAGATCGTCGTGCACTGGTACAACTCCGCAGCTCAATATTGGACTATCGCTTCGTCCAACGGTGCTTTCAAGTCCCCCGCGATGAAGCCCGGTACCTACACGATGGTGTTATACCAGGGCGAGTACAAGGTTGCCACCGCAACTGGCGTCTCTGTCAGCGCTGGCAAGACCACGTCGAAGAGCATCGCTAGCACCGAGACATCGCGTACCTCGCTCTGGAAGATTGGAGAGTACGATGGCCAGCCCACCGGGTTCCTCAATGCGGACAAGTTCCTCCGAATGCACCCCTCTGATAGCCGTATGACAGCTTGGGAGCCGGTTACTTACACCGTCGGTTCCTCATCTCTCAACCAATTCCCCATGGCACTCTTCCAGACTGTGAACAACCCCGTGACTATCAAATTTAACCTGAAGTCTGCTCCCGGAGCTGCTACTCTCCGGATCGCAACCACTTTATCATTCAGCGGAGCTCGCCCGCAAGCCAAGGTTAACTCGTGGACCGCAGCGGCCCCATCGTCACCGACGAAGATTGACAGTCGAGGTGTAACCCGTGGAGCGTATCGTGGCCTAGGCGAAGTCTACGATGTCAGCATCCCTTCAGGGACTCTCGTTGCGGGTGACAATACCATTACGATCACCTCCATCTCAGGCAGCAGCGGTACTACCTTTTTGAACCCCAACTTTGTAAGCATTGTCTATCGACTCCTATTCTTTTCGTATTTGAACTAACATGAATGTTTACAGATCTTTGACGCTGTTGAGCTCTTCCAATGAGCCCCTTAGCATCCGTAGAGACTGAGGTACTATTAATAAATATATATATATATATATTGATCTTATAAACTTGATTCTTGCCGAAATATTTGCCGTAGTACTCTAAAGTTCAACAAGTGAAGTATAACCTCGTAATAAACGGACCAACGGACCAGGTGCCTTTAATAAGATAAATTCAATTTATTCTTGACTGTCTCATCACTACACGAGCTTTAATCCTCGTCTTTTTCTATGATATAAGACCACGCTAAAGCAGATAGAGCTATAGCTACCAGGTATAACCACCACACAATCCCAACAACGCCCTCCTCGACGCCCATGGCGAACACGTAACCACCTACGGCCGGCCCAATGGCGCGTGCCAGGCTCGCCAGCATATTACCAGCACCGTGTATAGTCCCCAGGACCGTCTTCGAGGGCGCGGATTCTGTTAAGAGAATTACAGTACTAGGGATAGCCATAGTACGCGCCATAATCTGGGCACACACAACCAACCCTAAGAAAACCCAGCGAGCTCCATCCTCTCCGTTACCCGCCAGTAACGATAGGTACGGTGCCGCGGCGTACGTAACTGGGAACAAAAACAGCGCGATTCGAAAGACGCCGCGGGTACCGATGCGTGCCTGTAGCCGTGGATATATAAAGAGTTGCAGGAGGATACCGCCGACGCCGAAGATCGATAGCCATATGCCGATGGTAGATGAGCGTAGTCCTAGACCACCTGCAAAGGCGAAGAATGTAGCTTCGCTGTTGTCGGCCGGGGGACTACTTAGATAGACGGGGAAGATGTGCATGAAAGCCGAGTTGTGTAGCGGGAGCAGTCCGAACGAGACCAATGCGCACACTACTCTACGCGTCCAAATACTCCGGAAAGGAAGATTCTTACGGCCAATAGGTGTCATCGACGGTAGAGGCTTCTCAAGCTCTTGCTGGGTTTGCCCTAGGAAAGTATCCTCACTGCTGTCTATCCTCACGTATTCCTGTCGCCCCCCCTTTCGCCGTAGACGCCTAGCCCAACGCATAATAGCCGCTCCGATCTTAAGTCCAATATCGCTCTGATCCTCCTTACCAGGAAGGGTTTCTTTCAAACCACCCACGGCTAAAACCAGAGACGCAGCTAATATAGCGGCGTTCAAGAGCGCAGGTAACGCGTACGGATATTCGAGGGCCCAAGATACACCGTCCGGATTCCGACTCGTATTCAAGACCCCGTCCGGTCCAAACAGCCACGCCATATTAACAACGGGTTCCGCCAGACTTCCGCCCAAAGCCAGACTAGCTACCATACCAGCATTGAACACCAGAGGCAGCAAGAGAAAAGCTTTAGTCTGATACTTGCGCTCGCGCACAACTTCCGCCGTCACGGTGCGCATGATTCCAACATTTCCGTTCGCAAGACCCGCCAATATCCTCCAGAACAGCAGACCGCCAAACGACCGCGAGAACCCGAACCCAACGTTCGCCAGCACGGACACCGCAAGCCCGCCTACAATCGACAGTCGCCGCCCATGCTTATCCGACAGCCGGCCCCACGGCAGACTCACGAGGAACTGCGCCAGCGGAAACGCGGCTACGAGCAACCCGGAGAACTCAGATATACGCGCCGCCGCGGCACCGGCAGTTTCCGGCGGTTGGTCGCCGCCGTCGTCGTCGCCGGAAGGGGATGATGGGGTTGCGGGTGGGAGGACGGAGCGTACGAGGTAGAAGATATAGGGTAGTAGACAGACGTTGGAGAGCGGCTCGGATAGGCGGCAGAGGGATAGGATGAATAGCTGGTCTTTATTAGGTAGATCTCGCCATCGGATTTCCGTCGGCTTCGGCGGTGCGGTTTCCTCTATGTTTGTTTGCTGGCCCCTGACATTTTCGCGGGCCGTGTGTGCGGCGATTCGGATTTCGGAATCGAGGTCTTGTGGTTGGTGATATGGTTAGCTTTTGTTATTATGTTCTTGAGAAATACTGCAAGTTTCTCTCTCTCTCCCTCCCTTTCTCTCTCTTTCTCTCTCTTTCTCTCTCGTCGAGTACTTACCATTTCCCGTGGAGAGCAAGCTCTCGGTTGCTTGCATATCCCGACCCATCTTGACGTTTGGAGAGCTTGGACGGTACGAAACCACTCAGCTCTGACACTACTATTGTTTGTCCAATTTTATAAACATTGCTACTTCTGTCTATAAGAGAATAGGTCCTTCGGTTGTACTCTTAGCCTGGTGCGTGTAGAAGGAACAGGATAAATTAAAATTGTATTATATGAGCTATTCGACTCTCATCTCCAAGATAGGGGGTACACATACAAATGTTCCCGGCAGCACAACATGCTACAATTCTTCTCTTATATCTATCACCCGCGGAAGCTCTCTCCGTCTGAGCTTCTCTTAGGGTAAATGCCCATCATCTCGTCATCTTCATTTATTTATTCTCTATAATTCCCCAGCCCGTACTCTAATTACCCAAGCCAGATTCAGCAACCCGAATTAGACACAAGGCTCGTCCAGCTCCGAATCGAGGGTTATCTCTTAACGGCAAATATACCCAGCGGCCGGGGTGTTACCAAATCCAATTTATCCGCATCCAATAATACTCGCCGCCCCCTGCGCGCACAACATCCAGGTGCCGAGTTACTATGTACGTCCGCTCGTCCCCTACGCTATATCTGGTGCCGTGCTACGTGCGACCCTTGGCTTGCATTCCCAAACGCCAGTAGATTTCCAGAGAAGACCCCCCCTCGTGCCAGCTATATCATACCATCATAACACCGAACGTAGACAATATGGTTGAGGTTCGAAATCTGGATGGCAGGCTAATGCGGGGGTGGCACGCAGCCATTTCTTCGACGCGGGAGATATTCCCAGCGCGATGGGTAAGCTGTATGTATGCTCTCCGCGAGACACTAGTTATAGAATAGACAGCTGAACAAGGTCAGCTTGCTGGCTCGCGGAGGGGGGCGACATCGTAAGCTAGATAGACGCTTTCTCTTTTCTCAAGTTTGGCCATCATCGCCTTGTTGTCTCACATAGCTCTAAATTTTGCCGTTCTTCTCGTTGTGCTTTGGATCCTCTACGGCATAAACTTCGCGGAGTGGCGATGGCGCTGGTAACAAAAGCTGATATTCGGCTTCACTTATTATGCATATTCTTTGCGATTGGCTCATTCGTCTGGGGCTATAATGTCGGAATTCTCTCATCTGTTCTGGTCCATCCAGGGTTCCTTAAGGCGATGGGCCATCTTACGCCGTCGCGAAAGGGAGTAATTACAGCTATCTATTACTTGGGAACATGGTATGGCTACACCTCTGTATCCTGTATCCTCTACTCCTTAGATATACTAACTAAGCTGTAACCTAGTGAGTCATTTATACCCTACTAAATCTGCTTGATATCTCATATGCCACTCTATAAGTTTGAATGATATGGTATTTCATAGTTCTTGAATTAGAAACCATGAGCTTTCACGAGCTAAACGCTACGCTCCTGAGTAAAGCTAACCCGTAGTAGGGCTAAGCTATATTTTCATCTCGCACCCGGTTAGCGATCTCTTTGGGAGGCGGTACGCAGCTATGGCGGGTATATTAACCGTCGCCGTCGGTAATGCTTTCGAATCCGGAGCATCTGGTTCGGGTGCGTACGCTATGATGATAGTCGGCCGAATTATATCTGGTATTGGAGTGGGCATGCTGTCAACTTCAGTACCCCTATATCAAAGGTTTTCCTCCCTTCCCCTTCCACTTCCGCTCAGGAATGGTCGAGCGTGAATATTAACCTCTCATAGCGAGGTTGCCCCGGCGGGAAAACGAGGAAAATACGTCGTCCTGAATCATGTTGGTTTTGTTGCCGGCCTAGCAGCGGGTTTCTGGTAAGCATTTAGAACTTATTCGACTCATTCTAAAATGATCCAACTAAAAATAATGACTTATAGGATTGGATACGGAGTAACATTTTGGAACACGACTGAGTATGACATATACGTATCATGGCGGGTTTCCCTTGCCGTTATACAGGTCCCCTGTGTCATTTTTGCAGTCGGGCTCCCTTTCATCCCCGAGACGTGAGTCGTCCGTCCTTTCAAGATACGCCTTTTTATAGGCCCCATCAATTTCGCTAATAAACATGACATAGCCCCCGTTGGCTTATTGAGCACGGTCACTATAACAAGGCTCAGAGGTCGCTGCACTGGTTACGGGAAGGTAGTTTTACGGAGGTCGAGATAGACTCCGAGTTGACGCGCATCCGAGAAGACGTGGAAGCGCACCGAGCGACCGGAGAAGCTAACTGGTTGTCCTTGTTTCGAGATCGGAGCCTGTTCGAGCGGCTATGGCGCGCGTCGTTGCTTCAGTTCATGGCACAGATGTGTGGCGCTACCGCTATGAAGTATTATTTGCCGACACTCTTCGCCAAGCTCGGCCTTCCTACGCGCGTTACGCTGCTGGCTGGAGGCATCGAATCGACCCTTAAGATTGGCATGACAGTTATCGAGATGCTTCTCATCGACCGCCTCGGCCGAAGAGTAACATTGACGGCAGGATGTGTCGCAATGAGTTTTGGCATGTTGGTAAGTTGGTACAATCTGCTACAACTCTTATTGTCCCTTGAATAGACAGACCATTGACTAACAGTTATTAATTCAAGATCAACGGAGCGTTAGGCCAAGTATATCCGAATAACACCAATAGAGCCGCTGATGTAGTCTGTATCGTCTTCATTTTCATCTATGCTTTGGGCTACAGCATGGGTTTCGGCCCGGCAGCTTGGGTATACGGCTCCGAGGTGAGAACTAATATTCAATGCCTCAAACTGAATATCGAAATGCTAACGTAAAGTCCAAGATATTCCCTACCTCTTTTCGTGCTCGTGGACTTAATTTCTCTGCGTCGGCCGGAGCTATCGGCTCTATCGTCGTGGCTCAAGTTTGGCCTGTCGGTATCGATACAATCGGCTCCAAGATCTATTTCTTCTTCATGGCAGTCAATGTCGTCTGCATTCCAGTAGGTTCTCACTGCCCTTAGAAAGATGTTCCTCCAGTGCCGTATCCTAATATTAAATTTAGATCATCATCCTCTTCTACCCTGAGACGAAGGGTCGACCGTTAGAGGATATGGACTTGCTATTTAACAAAGCTATCGGAGGAATTGGCGAGGAGGCTGACGAGGAGGTCGACGAACAGTCCGAGCCTGTGCTACCTAAGAATATCAGCCGTCCATCGCAGGGCTAATATCTCGGAGGATAGAGATCAATTAATCGATAATTTCGGATAGATCTAATACCCTAGTGGAAAAAAACTAGGTACCTATATATTAAGACAAAGCTATATTACAACAACTCGATGGAAGCTAGTGTTAGTTAGACAAACACAAATCTACTTGGATAGGGTTGACGAACCAAAGTACTTAAACTTCTGAATTCATTAATATCTGAAGTACACGTCGTTCTAGTAGCTGGGTCATCACCCTTCAGACCCAAGCTATTCCGAGGATCAACGAACCAATAACGGAAAATAAAATAAAACCCCCCAAGCCACTGGTATCTACCAAAACGCCCTCCAAATGCTACTCACTAATAACCGTCGTGACCCATAATACAAACAGTGATCGAATCATCACAAATATTTCTCACTCTAGTCCCATTTGAGCCTCGTCCCCAATGCCCCATTGGCCTTGGTCTCTCTGATGTCCCTGAATCTCTAGCTCTAAGGCTGGAGTCAAACTACCTTCATCGTCGTTAGAACGTAAACTAGCGGTCTCGCTTGTGCGCCTAGATCTATGCGTGCCACCTGTATTTCGTCGACGTAGTTGAGGGCTGGACAATCTGAACCTGGCAGATTTTGATGATGTGCTAAGGACGGAAACCGCATCGTCTTCCTCCTTTATTCTACCTTTAGCAGACCCTTGATTTGAAGACGTGTCTGGAATGGAAGTCGAGAGGGCAGACGCGGTGTCTATCCTCTCCGAGCTGGGCACCGAAACAGGGGGCGGCCGAGTCGGTAATTCGGGTGGCGGGGGAGAAGCCGTCTCGTCCGAAACCTCAACAAGTTCGGCGTCGCGATACCATTTTCGTCGACGTGTCCAACGACCCCAACCATCATTACCTCTTCGACCGTTCTGCCACTATTTTAATTGTAAGCAAGATCAACCAGTCAAATTGGGCCTAGCATGAACCGTACCTTGTTATCATAGAAGATCCATCCATTTTTGCCGGCATCTGTATCGTAATCTGTCTCGTCCATATCAGGCACACCGTCGACTCGCCATTTGCTTCCCTCGACCCATCTCCACTTTGCACGCCCGTCTTGTACCTCTGGCAACTCAAACTCGTCTCTAGGCGGGACTTGGTTATTGTGCTCGTCCGTCCAAGCCGCTCGTTCGTAAGCGAATAAACTGTTGGTCCAGCCTAACCCTAGCCAGCGTCTCTGGTTTTCGTAAATGATAAAAGTGAAGCGTACGCCCGAGTCCTTAGCTCCGGAGCGACTGCTCCGTTTCAAAGCCTCTGTCAGAGCAGATTTTGATATCTTTGTAACTTCGCGTGGCTGCTTCTCCTTAGTAGTCGTGGTCGTGAGAGTCCCATTTCCATCGGCACCTTCAGGCTTTGTCTTAGCTGGCTCTTCAAATTGCAATCCCGTGACCAGTCTCGCAACCCTTCGTATAGTAGCACTTCGCCAAAGCAGCGTTCTGGATACTCGGCAGACCTTCGAGTGCCATGTAAGTACTAAGGTCCCGAGCACTAAAACTACCCTCTTCGTTGTTAAAATTCTTAGCGGCGGGAGCGTTAAGAGTATCCAAGCGGGTGTAATAGCCAGTATTCGAACAAACAACGTAGTGAGTGCTGGTCTCGTAGTAGCGCTGGTAGCGGTCCGTTGGGTAGATAGGAAGTCGGTCATTTCGAGAAGAGGTTCGAGTAGAATATTACACCTGGTCGTAAAGACCTTAACAGTGTCGACGATCTCATCCAAGGTCTTTTGATGCCTCGTACTAGTAAGCTCGCTCGAATTTCGCTGGTGCGAGCCGCCTGCGCCTCCTCCGGCGGATGCGCTCGATGTCTTATTTTCCTTATTATTATTCGCCATACTCGGATGTTCAGCCCAGCCACTGCTTGATAATGGACTATATCGTCGCCCGTACATACCCCCTATAAGACCCATGACCACAACGATAGGGCCGGCGAATCGCACAATGACGTCGCCATACTGGACGGCTGCCCAGAAAAAGGCAAGCAGTATAAAACTCTCCCATTGATCTCCAGTAGTCCAGGTCAATAGGCCTACAAGCTTATTCAGAGGTAAAAGGAAGGGGTGACTGTATGCAAGAGCACGGGTAATCTGAGGCGGCGTGGCGAGCAGCAGAGGCGACTTCTGGTGGACTAGGATAGTCGATCTCCGCTTCGCAGCGGAGGCGGCGGTCGATAGGTTCGCTGTAGAAAAGGAAGCATAGGTGGGAGGGGTGTAGGTAGGAGGAGGGGCGTAGGTAGGAGGAGGGTCGGAAGGGGTAGAGGAACCGTCGACGTCGCCGCGGGGAGTATGTTTCGGGGTCGACATGTGTGTCAGCCAAGGCGTGTCCTATAGCGCGAAAACAAGGTAGAATAGAGGGTCAGCTTTAGTGCGCAATCATATCGAACTGCACATAGTATGGGGTATATGCGTATAGGTGGATGCTGGAAGAAATGGAAAAGCCGGTAGAAGGTCTGGGCGGAATTGCCGAGGCTTATGCACTTTTGATGACGCCTTCAATAAACATAGACCATAGGTATGTAAGATGTAAGAGAGATGGACGGAGAAAAAGAAGAAGGAGAGAGAGGAAGAAAAACTTGTAAGAGTAAATTCTGTAAATTCTAGTAATTGATAAGAGTATGCGAAAGGACAAATTATATTATTAGGCAGGAGCAGAAAGTGATAAACTTACCAGAGCAGCCATCAAGGGCTGAAGTTGAAGTGGTTTGTAACTGCGCGCGATGCGATGCGGCAGATTATCGATTCTTGAAGACTGAAGTACGAAATAAGGTATAAGGTATGAAGTAAGTTAAAATACCTTTCAAGGTTATTACAAGGATCTTATTAAATCAGACAACCCGGGCTTGCTCATCCGAGAGCTCCTTCTCAACCTTACTATTGTCGTTGCTGCTGCCGCTGTCACCGTTTGCTTATGAACGCGACGTCATTCGGCGATAGTGTGACTTCGTCATGTAACGCGGTAGTGTACACTCTTGTATATGGTGCTAGCCGTTTGAAGTGGAATCTATCGCAACGCTACGTACAGACAAATAAATAAAATAAAGAGGACATTGGTGTATAGAAAATGAAAAGGAAATAAGAAATAATTTAAAGAAATCTCATTTCAATTTGGCTTGTGATGATTCCGTACCGATGAATGCCTTAGAAGACATTGCGCGCCAATAGGTACATAAGATGATGCAGGTTAAAGGTACATACCTACCTGTCTTAGTTGCCTAGCCTATTAGCTCAGCGAAGCTACCCGAGTCGCAACGCGGGGCAGTAGCGCTAAACTCTCTCTCGCAGTCCTCGGTATTTTCACATGTGATAAGAGGTAACCACCCACTGCCGCTACGGTACCTAATGGAGCTACCCAGGTAGGCGGTAACTTTAATACGTAATAAGAAATTGTTAGTTGGTATCTACCTAGGTACCTAGGTATATATAATAACATACCTATACGACCAGCGTAATTAATAACCCAAGAAAAATAACATCGTAAACCACGGTGAGAAATGAGCACAAGCTGTTTTTCCTCCTCTTGAATTTTATACTCAAACGATTAGCTTCACTGCTATTCAAAACCCGAACCTACAGCTAGGATAACAGTTCATCCTAATATCCATACAGGCTAGACTTTCTCCAAGCATTCAACATCGGGATTTGCGATTCGAAGCTGTCGTATAAACCCGCGACTCTGAATCTTACCAGCTAAAAGCTTAGTTTCTTTACTCTGGCCGAAAGCGATTTTCCACGATGAACCATCCTTATTGTTCAATACTATAACGCTATTCCCGTGGGATCCCGGGACGTACTCTCGCGAGAAGCTGGCTACTTCCATTAGATCAATCGTAACGTCTACCGGACTTCGCCAGGTCGCCATTATCTTTCGATCCTTATCGTGGAAGAGTTTGACACAATCTTCTTCTTCGTTCAATCTCTCCCACGATGTTGCTCCATTGCTACATTGCGATAATTCAAAGTCCGCATTGCCTGGGGACGATGTAGCATCGGCAAAGGGGTTACTAACGGACTGGCTAGATGTAGAAACCTTGGTGCCTGCTATTGGGTTGGTAGAGGAAGTAATCATCTCGGTTTCAGGGAGCTGGTCTTCCTTATGCTTGCTTGACTTATTCTCCTCTTCTTCCTTATGCTGTGCTGTCTGGGTCGTTTCCTCAGTAGTAACTTGCTTATTCTCGACCAGGCGTTCTCTGTCCGCCATCATTTCATCTTCCGCACTTATATCATCGCGCTCTTTATCGATACTAGCCGCCTGTTTCGAGTTTAAGGCCTCGAGGATTTCATAAGGATCACACTGAATCTTGTCGCTAGTTTTCGACTTGAGATCATTAGACGCTCCGTTGATAAGAGGCGAGATATCCCTGTCTCCATCAATATCTTTGTCGTCAACATGTGCTTCCTTGCTTCCTTTTAATCCGGGGATAGGTGTTGTGATGAGGTTATGGATAACTGCTGCGAGAGTTGACTCCGGCGATGTAATGCGATCGACACCAGTTTGAGGGGCGCTGGCAGCTCTATCTCCCAAAGGCAAATCGACTAACTGGTCAGGTTGTATTGTATGGGAACCTTGTAACTTTTTCGTGCTAGATGTATAACTTTCGTGAGATTCTTGTGGGTTTATAGGATACGAACACGCCCGTCTCGCGAGCCCCCGAGTTGATTCCATTCCTGTAACCACTGGCGTAGAGAGATGGTTCTCTCCTGACTCTCGCCATTTTTCAATTGGCTTATTTAATTCTTCGGTATCTTCTATACTCCGCAGGCCGTAAAATGCCCAGGGTCGATCCGAGGAGCCGCTTGGCTTTATAGCATGCGAAGAGGGTTTGTCCCAATCATCTTTTTCGGCGTCGGAAGTATCGTCAACATCAGATCCGGAAGCAGAATAATCCTCATCGCCAGGAATTTCCCCACCTTTCAAGAAATTCTCCCACTCTTCTAGGAGCGTCTCCGTATCTTTGGTGGAAATTGACAGTGCGTCCGAGTTAGAGCATAGGCTATCCGAGTCCTCTTTATCTACTGACGGATCATGACTCGTAGTAGGATATCTTTCAGGCCCTTCGGGTTTTTCACATCCACTAGGATGGATGCTTATTTTAGCAGACTCGTCCACAATCGGGGTGATTGGCGAGATCGACGGGGGCCGCGACGTTGGGGCTAGTTCACAATTAGTACAAAGATATTTGTTTTGCTTGGATGGATTACTTACGATAAAGACGAGCCTTTTCCCTTTCTTCCCACGTACTAAAGCCTTCCCTCTCAGCAATCCAGCGACAGGCAGCATTGAAAGGATGGTCTGGTTCGGATGGTGGTGTGCGTTTATATAGAGGGAATTTGGTCAGATATCGAGCTGGGAGCCACGCTACAGTCTGAGCTTCATCGAAGAACATAACGGGAAATTTTCTTGAGTCAGTTTTAACGCCTCCATCTTCATATCCTGGTGCCCAGCCAACTATTTTGTTTGATTCGTAAATATAGCAGTTTGGTGGGGAGGATTTCTTCTTAAGGAGACCAGTGTCCTTGAGGGTAGAGTTCTTCAGGCCGCTTCCGTCTTGGCTATCCCACCCGAGTATCATAACAGGATAGATTTCATCATTATATTCCGAGCTACCATTGGACTTCCAGCGGCCATGATAAATATTGAATGTCTTGGGGTTAGTAATTATTTTTTGTGAGTTGGAGTTGTTCCGGCGACTCGTCGGTGTGTCTGAATTCTGACGAGCCCGAACTTTTGGTTTCTTTGGGGTGACATCCGCGCCCAGCTTTGCTGTCCATGAAGAAGACGACTTTTTCTTTTTCCCTTCCTTACGCACCTTTTTTTGCATCTTATCTCTTTTGTTAGACTGCTTTTCTGACTTAGCAAGGGGTGGTTTATATCCATTTTTGTAACTTTCCTCTGCAACCTGGTTGTTAAGCTTTACCAGTTCCTCGTTGCAGTCAACCACCAGGTAACCCAGTGTTCTAACGGCCATATCCCAATTTCTATCGGGGAAGCCGTGATCTCGGCCATTAAGATGCCTAGCGGCTCCTGGGACAGCATTTTTGGTGAAACGAGCCTCGTGTTTCTCACACTTTAGAATATACCACTTCCGACTACCGCTCGGCCACTCCACAATTGTATCTTTGTGTTTTGCGGCACCATTCTGGTAGACCTCGTCAAATTTTATCGTTCGAGTTGGTAGATGAGCATTTTCGTCTAAGGGTGTGCTAGCAAAGGTTTGGTGGGAATTGATAAATGTTTCGACGCGCGGTCGCTTAGGGGGATGTTCTTTCGGCGTGGATGCCTTGCGTTTCTTAGACTGGACTCGCATTATCAGACGTCTCTCTCCATAGATGGTTTCATGCTGGACGGTGCAAGTCAGGGATTCATCGGCCTGGTTTCGATTATGAGACTCGGAAGAGATCCAGGGCATATGTTGATGATCCCCTTCCGTGCGATTAGATTCAGTACTTACATCTTGAGGCCGTGAGATGACACTGCCTTGAACACCGGCAGTTGCATTCGTATCTCCATTTATAGCCAAAGAGACTTTAAGTTTCTCGTGATAGGCAATTTCATGACGAGCACGTTCCGCCTTCTGTTCCTTCTCAATGATTATCGTTCTTTTCTGGTGGCTAGCCTCAATCTGCCGTATATCATTCTTAAGGCTTTTTTCGGCCATAGGCAAGATTATCTCCCTGTACAAGGCCGGTGGTACCGCTGCCTTTAATTTTAGTAGGTCGCTTTCGCTGCTCTCGCGGAGATCTTGCTTCTCCTTTTCGAGTAGATCCTCATGAAAAGCAAGTTCCTTGGCATGTTTGGCTATCATGCATTCCTTCTCCTCGTTCCATCTTTCATGGATGTCTAGAGAGGCTGGAGGGTCCATTTGGTGAAAGATGGTATGATTGCGTGCAGTAAAAACCATGTATCGTTTGGTTGACAGAAACCAGTGGATCAAATGAAGCAGATGGTATGTATGCGAAAGTATGAGAAGTACAATTCCCGGGTGAATATAACATGGAGAGTGGTTACCATGTACTTCCAGGGAATGTCAAAGAAAGTATTATAAATCTAGGCATCCAAGTCAGTGAGTGTGACAGTAAAAGACAGTACGACGAGAAACGAATATGGATAGAAGGAAAAGGGGGAGGGAAAATGCTAACAGGGAGGTGTAGTATAGAAGTGCTCGTTTATCGTATGTTTTCAGGCCGCTACTTAAGGCCGAGTTTGCATTGTGAGGACAGACGCGCCGAGACTAACACGACGAGCAGAGGTTCTTTTTATCCAAAAGGACAATCAAACCATTGGCAAGTAGTATTCGAGTCGGTTAAAGGTTAAAGGGGGTGAGTAGCTGTTCTACTCGATGGAAATGAGTTGATATGGGTTGATGGGTTGAAATGAGATTAATGTGGCAATTGGAGTCCGACGTCAAAAATCGACAGTTGGGGCAAAAGGTCTTATACTATGTAGATGCGGGTAGATGATAGGAACGACTCTCTTGGTGGGCTTCCAAACTCGTTCTTGATAGGCTTTAAATGGTGCAAATAAAATAAAATAAAATGATAAGGAAAGAACCCCCCCGAAAAAAAGATGTCAGGTTGTTGGCTTTTACCTCAAAAGTCAAGCTTAAAATCTATTAAGCCTCGTAAAAAAGTAAGCGCGTAGGTAGTTACTTACATATAACTAACTATTATATATGTGTTAGGTACTTTAAAGCAACTGTAATAAATGGAAAAGAGGTACCACGTACAAAAAGGCGCGACCAGCAAGATTAATTTATTTATACTTGCTTATACTTGCTTTTTCTTTTATGTATACCTAGTTACATAAATTTCGTACATGTACGAGATCATTGCATGGAAGTTTTAATGCTGCCCTTGTCTAATGTTTTATTAAATACGTAGTACATGGGTGTTGCCAGGTGATCCACATCATCAGGGTAAAAGACAGTTGCGGGGCACTTGCCAGGCATTAAAGGCAGGATCGAGACGTCCACTCGGGGCATCGGGGCATCGGGGCATCGGGGCAAATATAAGGTAAGCAAAGGCAGTTCCGTAGTTTTTAAAAACCAACATCGCACTTTCGTAATTTGTAATATAAAACCAATTTGACAATAGGTATAAAACTCGGCGGCTTAAACGCTTTTTTAATAAATTAATAAGTGGGGAAATAACTTAAGTATTTGTAATATTAAAAACAATAACTTAAAGTAATAACCCGAATATTTAAAACTCGGCATCCCGATAATCCTCGGAATGAGATATCATTGGTTTATCGCTGGCATTGGGACTTTATACCAGCATGTTCCAATGCATACCTCTTAATGAAGCACGATATCATTTAATGTAACCATACCCGGGTACATACATACGCATACATCAAGTACCTCCTCGTGTAAGTACTCAAGTATGCAATAATAAGCCAAAAAGCAAACCAAGTGGCTTTGCAGACAATAACCAACACAACCTGCTTTACAGGATATCCCCCAATAATATCGAGTGCTTTATGCAAGTTCTAAACGTCCCGGCACACTGCTTCCTAGATGTGACTCATTACCACTGCTTACCCCCACGCTCATCTTTACTGCAGCCGTGATATGCTGGTTTGGTAAGGAATATGTACGTCTTTCCTGGATAAAAAAGGGTTATAGCATGTTTAAGGTGGCAAAACAGGGGCTAGTAGGTACACTTACCCGAAGATGAGATCTATCACAATACGAGTACGGAAGTAATGAAATAATTGCTGTTCCGCGAAGACTTTAAGAAAGTTACTCATGCATAGATTGTCAGTGATAGGCTTGTTTATTAGGTGGCGTAACGGAGCCTTATTTTAGTTTTGTAGTAACTTTATATATCTCGGCATTGCCCTATATCGTCCTTTTCTCCCCAAGTATTATTAAAAATATTTTTCTGAAATTAACATTCCCGGATGAAAAATTAAACGTAGATACAATATATCTTGCATGTGAAAACATAAACACATGCCCCTTTCGAATATGTAACCCCTTAAATAAGTATTTAATAGTTGGGGTTAAAGTGAAAATAATCCGCAGTTCACTCGGAGGCTTGGCATATCTGATTGTAGTTGATGGTTAAAAAGGCCTAACAAATAAGTTGTGAGATAGCATAAGAAGTAAAAAAACATTAACTGAAATATTTCGATGAAAGAACAAATATCACTCCAGGAAAAACTGCTGCCTTTATATGCGAGAACTCATTTGGTATTAATAAACCGACCTACCTTAAAGACTTGGTTTATCGTAAACACTTATCCTATTACAACATATTTAGAAGCATATATCCCTTTCTATCTTTATATATCACAATCGTTTATATCTAAGACTTGTAGACGTTTCATTAAAAGAGAATACTTGATAATTGGTATGATTCTTTTATCTACCTTAGATTCGACACCACAAGGTTTATTCAAAAGGGCCATAGAGCCAAGAAAATAGGTCTATGATCCCATAGAGACCTAGGTAGTCAGACGTGAGAAGACTTACAAGTCTAATGTCACAGAATGCCTAAATACTAGGTATATCATTATGGTAAAGTTGCTAATATGAACGAGGCATGTACGTGCCCTAGCAAATTGCTCTACCTTGCATCGCCGCTCATGATTGTCATCCCGTACCAACTCCGTACCAAATCTACCCATCTACTAGTTTACAAAACTCCCTTTCGGTACAGATATAGCCAACGTGGGCAGATGCGGTGCGTTCACCAGAACGAACACCAACCAATATAATGCTGACAGAGGTTCTCGAGTTTAGTTGCTTCCATGATCAACTTGTTCACCTGTGTTAAGATATCCAACTCGTCGGTCGGCTTGAAATCCCGACCAGTCAGCTTCTGGTTCACGCGGTCTAGCACTTCGACCGCGCGAGCGTTTTGTATCTCGGCCATCTCGCCGTCAAGCATCTGGCCTGTACCATTAATCAGACTTGAGTTCGTGCGTGCCCTGGCGCGAGAAGCGAGTGGACCACCGGGATGGGCCGAATCAACGGCACCGGCTGCTTGCTGTGCAGCGAGGAATTCGGAAGGCGGGTGCTCGGAATCTAGGATACTCGGTCTACGGGCTCGCTGAGCACCAGCACCTAAGGATGATTCGCGTTCGGAACGGAAGTTGGGGCCAACAGGAGAGGCGGCGTTAGTGAGACGCCAGGTCAGCAACGGATCGTGGATAAACTATAAATGACCTAGCGTTAGTATGAATATAACTTCTAATAGTAATGACAATCACTTACGGCTTCCAGGACGGCCATAACACTTTCTTTATTCTCCCTAAGAACGCGCATGACATGCTCACACGTAATCCGGAAGCTACCCTCAATGTTGCTAACTTCCATCGCGTATGTGAGCATTCTAGTAAGACGGAACGGGACTCGCTCGGGATATTTATCTCGCTTCATGGCAACTTCGAAACAGTCACCGAAGTCGATATGGATAATCTTGCCAGTAATGCGGTCGAGCATTAAGTTGCTCGGATGCCTGTCGCCGAGACCGAGAATGTAGCCAACCATGCTCATGACACCTAGACTGCGTGTATAGTTCGTACGCCTTTCTAGCCAGGCCTCAGAGCTCTTACTCTTTAGCCATAAGACGCGGTATAGATCCTGGCCAGTGGTGTTGTCTAGCGCGTAACCAAAGACTTCAACCTTTTGCATGAGAGTAAGGTTGTCGTAGTCCGGTGCCATCTGTAACATGATACGGTGCTCTATATTAAGGAGAATCTTTCGGCTTTCACGATACTCGCGAATCAGCACATGCAATGTGTCGCTGTTTGGCACCCAGCCGAGAAGTCCCGAATTCTGGCTGAGGGGTATTGCCGGATATTGTTGAATGCTAAGATGGCGTTTGTAGCACTCTGAGTCGTTAGCGAGCAGAGTGTTGCACAGACCGAATAGCTGCATGACACGTTCGTCTTGCCGAATATCCTCATGTCCCTTTAATAAGAAGGAATACTGGATTCCATCGCTGCCGTTGATGTTCAACTTTCTTGGTCGCTGCTTGGAGTTGATCACGCTGAAGGTTGTGTCGAATGAGAGGATGCGAACGATGGGGGCGCCACTCTTGTATTGACCGGGAACTGCCAGATCGAGATTCTTGGCTGCTAACAGTTTTGGAGAACAATATGCAAGCTCCAGAGACGACATCTGCGGTAGTTGTCTCCCAATCCGACGGAACACTTGGTAGTATAGATCCCACGCCTGATTGAGGTCGTTCACATCGTGACTAGACTCGTACTGGCGGCACCACTCCCGAGCTTCGGTGAGGTCTCGACCGAAGGTCTGCGCGAAACTAATCTCGCGCAGGGTCTCCGGCCCTCGCTCCAGTAGCTCATGTAATGGTCCAAGAGTAGCGAACATGCCTTCGATGTTGTGATCTCCAAAGTACAACCGAGAAGCCTCTTCGAGCCCTTCGTGCCAAAGCTCGTGCCATAGTACCGCGACACGGATAAGCTCGTGGCTGACGGTGTCAGCCTGTTCCACAAGCTTAGCGCTGTGTGCACGCATGCTATCCATAATCAGCGCCGCCGACTTTGATCTTCTGGAGCTCTGGGCCGACTTCATCGCTACGGTTAGAGGATATACCAAGGCTTGAGGGTGATTGCGTCCGACATCGGCGAGTAGATTGTGAATAGATTGGCGCACTCGCGTGTTAGGCTGATTGATCCGGGCGATGAGTTGTGGAATTACCTCTAGCCATGTATCGACGCTGACGGTCCCGAAGCCTTGAGTAACGGCTGCGTTGACTTCGCTGCTGCCACCGTGCGCAAACCACAAAGTGAGGAGGCGTAGGGTATCCTGAAGGGCACTTCCAGATGATAACGCGATAGACTTGAAGAAACCCTGCACGGCAGGGACGACGTGGTTGATGATGATAGTTGAATCTGGCCTCGGGACGTTCCTATCGGCCGGAGGTGTGAGAGCCTGGACGATTTCGAAGTTGGCTAAAGCCCACGCGTGCCACGCCTTGTACCATTTCGGATTATATTGCGTGGCTTTTGAGTAGGAAGTTAAGATGTCCTGAACATTATGGTGCTGCCAATCGTGTTTGTTCAAGGAGACTTGCCACTCTCCCTGCTTTAGGAAGCATTTTGCAAGAAGCACCGTTTGGTCTTGAATTAGCTTTTGCGTTCTAGAGCTAGGCACACCCGCGTCTGCACCATTATGATAGCCGTAGTCGCTCGTCGGGTCTACTCCATTGGGCGCGGCTTGTATCGACGCTCTGGCCATCTCAAGGCTCTGGGCAGAATCAGCCGTGAACTTCTTCAGGCAGAATAGGGTCTTCTCAGGGTGGCCTGTTTGGCGTAGCTTCGCCTGTTGTCCGTACTCCCAATAGAATTTCAAGACGGCGTAGACAACTTGTGGGGGAATCCTCGCGGGCGTGCCTTGCTGAGGCGGGCTGTTCTGGCTCCAGTAGGGTATTATCGTCTCAAGGGGGTGGTCGGTGCCGATGAGTTGTTTGAGCGACTTCTCCGCCAAACCCATCCTTCCGGATTTTCGACACAGGTTTGCAAATTTAATCCACATGTGCATATTCTCCGCGGGGCTAATAACCAAGCCGCGGAGTCTTAGCATGCGCTGCCATACCTCAACGTTCCTTTGACATCCTTTCAGACGGCTCTCCCAC